GAGAGAGAGAGAGGGAGGGGGTGAGAGGGAGGGAGAGAGAGAGAGGGAGGGAGAGAGAGAGAGAGAGAGGGTCGATAGCGTAGCACTAGGTCGGTAGCGTAGCCCGTTGTCGGTAGCGTAGCCCGTTGTTGGTAGTCTAGCGTAACGTGTCCGTTAGGTCAGTAGCGTAACGTGTCCGTCAGGTCGGTAGGTCGGTAGGTCGGTAGCGTTAGGTCGATGGCGCCATCGCTCGGCAGGGCTGTTGCTCGGCAAGGCCGTTGGGGCTGCCTGCTGGGCCTGATCTTACGATCGCATGGCGATCCGGACCGTCGGGGCTGCCAACGGCCAGGATGTTCGTGCGATCTTAAGATCGTGCATCGATCTGGACCGTCGGGATGCGAGATTTCACCGCTTAGGGATTTTAATAAGTGTAGGGATGAAACACGGAAGAGTGGTTGTTAAGAGCATGGGATAAGGAATGGGCACCGACCTTCGTCGGGGGTAGTCGTAAACTGCTAAACAGTGATCCAGGCAATTGAGAATGAAAGGAAGTGTAAACTGCAAACCCACTACTCAGATGGGAATGGCACATCAACATTTACGAGTCTCAAATCAGCTGGGAATTGGAAACATCAAGACTCAATGAGCACAAATGAACAGGGAAATACATGCTCCATTTGAACGATGAACGGATGTTTGGACTAGTTCATCCGATTTATTGATTTTCAAATGAAATTTGAAATCAATCAATTAATCAATCAATAATAAATCCTGTAGTATTGCTATGAAAAGACTACAATCATGAAAATACTATAACTGAATATACAAATAATTATTTGAAATAATTGTTCGTATACTCAATGATATGTATATGCAATTATATTCTAATTCTAATATAGAATTAGAATTTTATTGTTATATATTTATATATATTCTATTGTAATTATATCAATCATTATTAATTATTGTTTTATATTCTTCATATTGAATTAATAAAGAGTGCGAGGCGCAGGGCCTCGATATGCCCTACAGGGCTTATTTTCCACACAGTCGGCAGCCCTAAGTGAAGGCAGGCACGACCGAGGCCTACAGGCCATTTTGGGGTCACGGCGCAACTGGGGAAATTCAGGCAGTTGCGCAGCGCCAGTTGGTTGGAAGCGCCCAGGCCCAGGCTGCCTTTCATTGCATGTAACTGAGGCAGGCCCTGGGCCGGATACACAAAGTGGACCGAACAAAGGCTGAGGGCAGTTGGGTGTTGATAACCACCACAGGCCCTGGGCCTGTTTACCTCGGACTGAGGCTCAGCCTCGTGGGGCCTACTGGAAGCTGCTGGGCCAGGGCCCAGTACCGCATTACGGCACGCAGCAGCAGGCCACTTCAATATAGAGAAGGGCCTGCCTACGCATTAGGGATTCAGGCTCTGGGTGCATGCTGTGCAAGCGCTGCTGCGCTAACGCTGGCCAGGCTCACGCGCTCACGGGCGAGCTGGAAGGACCAGGCAGCCATAGCCGAGCTGCGCTGCTGTATGCTGGATGGTGCGCATGGTGGTTCTTGGNCCAGGCTCACGCGCTCACGGGCGAGCTGGAAGGACCAGGCAGCCATAGCCGAGCTGCGCTGCTGTATGCTGGATGGTGCGCATGGTGGTTCTTGGGTGCATGTGGCATCTGTGAGTCGGGGAACGTGGTTGTGAGTGATACGAGAGACATACCTGGTGCTTGAAGCATACGACATTGGCCGAGATCTGCTCGTACTTCGGGGAGCTGTTGACGTCATCAACGGCATCGTAGAGTAGGCTAGATAGGATCTGCCATCTGTAGTCTGAGCGCAGCGCCAGATAGGATATCAACATTGGTTCTTCATTGATGATGATGAGACTATTCCAGCATTGTCAATTATGAGCTTTTGCTGTGCTCTTATTTGGTGAAACTCGTGATGCAATTCTGCTATTGGTTCGAGGTCACGACTATCTGGTCTCATGTGTAGGATGCTGTTTGACTTCTGAAGTTCGCTATTGCTCATCTTCCTTGCAATTTGGTATCGGAGCTGTGGTACGGTGCGCTAATCTGGCGCTTGTCTTCTGCCTAATGCGGTACATGCACGCGGTGTGTGCGGTGAGCGACCGTGCCATGGGACGTGTGTAGTGAGGAGGGCGAAGGCAAGATTAGGCGGCCCAGGTGGAGAGGGGATCGCCAGGAAGGCTAAGCGGTGATTACTGGGTGTCCACGGTGTAATGAGAACTATCCGATGTGTGATTGATGCTGAGGTGGAACGGCGGTGCAATGGTGGTTGTGCCGAAGCAGCGATTGGTCATCACAATCAACATCGGGTCATCTGGTGAGAATATTTGTGGTCGGGGGCAGCTATTTTGAGGTACGTTGCACCTAACCTTATCTACCCTCTTCGACACTTCTTACCGTGAGGATGTGTGTTATGTCTTGAGAGTCCTCTCATGTGAGGAGTCGTGTGTGCTCAACCATGAGAGTCGCCAGTCTTCACGTGGAGCATCTGGAAGGAGAGGGCGGTGCTATCTGAAGGGCCCTGGACGAAGCACTGGGTCACGGTCACCATGCCAACCCACCGGGAGTAGAGCATGCATGCTTTGCTGCTTTGTCCTTTGTCTGCTCGCTGCGCTATAGAGGGGTTCTGAGGGGCAGGCCAGCCCTATGGGAAAGACGAAACCAAACGTCTATAAATAAATACCGGTGGGGACCTTCCATTGGCTGTGATCGTCGTCCTGTTTGCGACGTTAAATAATTCCTGAGGACTTCGGGGGCCGTCCATAAAAACGCCTCCTGATCAGCCAATGTACACGCTGATAAAGACTGCAGGGCTGGCCAGCTCAGCAGGACTCGGGGCACAGGGGTGGGCCGTGTACACACCTTTAGACACGAACGCTGTCCGGATTGCTCAGGGACGTTGACGACAAGAGACATTCAGGAAGAACTGAGGGAGGGGTAGATTCCAGGTGATAAGTTTGGGCAAGATTCTATTATGCAAACAGACCCAACAAATGATTATATTTTTAGTTTTGATTAGTTAGATGTACAGCCATAACATCTGACAGACAGCATAGTTAAAACTGTTATATGTTCATTGTGCTTTCTGTTTGCGGACTAGTCAAAGTAAAATAGTTTTCATTTGTAGGAATCTGAACTTACTTGTTGGACCCAAATGCATCTACTTTGACGCAGCCACCGATTAATTATTTTAATTATTATAAATCGGTTTGTGCACTACGCTGCGGTAGGCATCAAAGAGTGACCTACTGCAGATTGTGCACAGCCCTGTAGCTTATGAGCAATAGGGATACCACTAGTGAGGACAACCGGATCTTGCGATCGGCCAGACGCCGGATTGCCCACGTGGCATTAGGACCCGAGGGTGATAGGTTACTGTTCCGCCAGCTTAGGGAGAGACAGCAGCAGTAGCGGAGAGCTAGGGCAGCAGAGGCCAGCAGAGTATTTGCAAGCGAAGCCGCAACTTCAACAGCCATGGCAACTGCTGCTCAGCAAAGTTCCCAGGCCAGCAGTTCAGGGGCCGTAGGGTCAACGGTCGCACAGACCTTGAGTCAGTCCATTGGCGTCATGGCAAGCCAGCCAATAGTGTTGACTTCCGATGAGATCGCCATACAGCAGGCAGCACTGCAGGAGGCACAGCTACAGAAGGCTCTAGGAGAGATTAAGGCAAAAAAGGAGAGAATGGTTAAAAGAAGAGTCAGGATGCAGCAGAGACAAGCGGACATTAGCGAGTTAGAGGAGATGGACCCAGCAGAGTTGGATGATGATGTGCGGACCCTAAGGGCGGTCTAGCTAGATGTAGTAGAGATGCAAGATCACCAGACGGCGATCTTACAGGACATCCAGCAAAGTCTGGCCGTGTTGGTCGGGCAAGCGCAGGCGGCGCCATCACTGTCCATGCTCGGTGCCTGGCCCGTTGTACAACCTCCTCCTTATGTCTCACCGGTGATTGGGGTATCCCCATACGTCTTCCCGCTTCCCTAGGGATGTCGTTAGCAGGATGGTTCTCAGCAGGTCCTAGCGTACAGATTCTTGTACAGACAGTGTTTTCCCAACCTCCGTCACAGGTTGCCGTAAGCGGGCAGCCTATTGTCTCGCAGCTTGCACAGCTGCAGGGTACACAGCCCAGCAATAGATTGTGCAGCAGCCTGCTCCTCAGGGTCCACAGTCCGGAATGGTGCAGGTACCAGGACAAAGTCAGTGGGTTCCGAAGACGGCCATCGCCGCTCCTAAGCCCTTTATAAGGGACAAGAGGGGTGAAGATCTCGACACTAGGTTGAGGTCAGAGCCAATCTACGTCAAGTGTAAACTTACCTTGTCGCACGAGGAAGTGCTTGTGGCTGCCTCCTATCTAGAGGGGAGTGCAGCAAGATGGTTGAGTGGCTTGGTGCAGTTGCAGGGATACGGTCACGACTTCCGCGATTGGGCAGTCAACCAGAAATTGGATGACTTCCTCAAGATGGTGGAAGACAGGTGGCATGATCCTCAGGGGGCTCAAAAGGCCACTGATGCGATCCTGACTCTGCATAACAGGCAGTTTAAGTCGGTAAGTGAGGCCACAGACGCAATAGAGTGTCTGACCTATGTCCCTGAGGTGCGCTATGACCCCCAGGTTCTACTCACCTCCTACCTGAGATGCTTTCCTATGCCTCTCAGGAATCAGTTGGCAGGTGAGGCCAACATCAACATGCACAACTTCCCGTCGTTTAGCAAGAAGGCCCTAGACCTCGAAGCAAAGATAGGGTATGGTCAAACACCCACGACGGATGGTAGGAAGAAGTCACTGCCTCCCAACTGAAAGGCGAAGGGACGCATCATGTTCGTCGACAACGATGGATCTACAATCGAGTTGGATGACGGCTTTCAGGTGGGAGTGGGTTCAAAGGCTGGCAGCGTAGAGGCTTCAGGGGGTGGAGTAGTCGCTGCCTCAGTACAAAAAGGTAAGGCGACCGGTAGACGCCGAGGAGGTTGCCAATCTAGGAGTCAAGTTGACCGCAACGCTCCTCCATGGGAGAAAGTGGGTCTAACAGAGGACGTGTGGAGAGACCGGTACACCCAGCAAGCTTGCATTCGTTGTGGCCAATATGGTCATAATCAATTCAAGTGCCGTAATAAAAAGGTGACCGAGAACATCCCGCCTACAGTGGGGCAGGCGTTGAGATCCTCCGCTCCCGTTGGCAGCAATGTGGCCAGCAGTTATGGCACTGCTCCGGGAAACGCGTCGGGCCAGTAGGAATAGTAGTTGTTCCTGCTAGGGTCGAGGTGGTGGACACACCCTCACCATCTCGACAGATGGCCCAAGCGACTAACTTTGTTGTCGTCCCGCAAACACATTCAGACCCATCGAGCCTTCGTTCGATGAACGTGTTCGAGTCCTTAGAGGAGCTAGAGGAGTGGTCCAAATCAGACCCACTAGCTTCTAGGACGACATTGGCAAAAGCCCCTAGGAGTGAGACGTCCGTCCGCGAGGTAGTCATCGGCGGCCGCAAGGTCGGGGCCTATTATGACACTTGTTCGACGCGGAACTTTATCAGTCGCGCGTGCGTTGCGAGACTGCGCGTACAGGGGCAAGTGCAGCGCCTGAGTCGACCTGTGGAGTCGACCTGTGCCAACAAACAGCGCATGGTAGTTCATGACTACCTTCAGAATGTTGAGTGTTCTTTCCCGTACACAGGAGGGGAACTGAAACATCGCGTCTCGTTCCTAATGAGCGATGATCTCCCTATTGATATCTTTTTAGGTATATACTACCTCTCCGTGGCACAACCCCGGTTTGACTGGGACTGAAAAGTGGTCAAACACACTTTGCCAGGTGGGGGGACCGCCAAATTACATAAGTTCAAAGCTAGTAGTCTGATAGAGTCCTACGTATGCACGTGTGTCGGCCGCGTTCTATAACTATTATAAGCAAAATCTGGAGGAGGGTATGTATCTAGTTCATATCTCTGCAGCAAGCGAGCCGGTGAAAATGCCACCGGAGATAGAGGGAGTAGTCGCAAAGTACCCTGGTATATTTGAAGAGCCAACAAGGGATGTCGAGAGGGAGGTCGTCCATGCGATAGAGATTATCCCAGGGTCTAGCATCCCGAAGGGTAGGATCTATCGGATGTCTCCAGGCGAGCTTGATGAGCTTCGCCGGCAACTCAAGGAACTCGTAGAGAAGGGTTGGATCCGCCGAGTGTCTCCCCTTACGGATCTCCAGTCTTATTTGTGTCGAAGAAGGGGGGAACTCTAAGTGATGTGCATTGACTATAAGGGCCTCAATGCCATCACTGTCAAGAACAGAGAGCCCCTACCACGCATCGACGATTTGCTAGATAGAGTGCAAGGGTGTCGGTACTTCAATAAGATAGATTTGAAGTCCTGATACCATCAAATCCCGAGGATCAACACAAAATCGCATTCCAAACCAAGTACGGTCTGTATGAGTTTGTGGTGATGCCTTTCGGCCTTTGCAACGCTCCTGGCACCTTTCAGCACGCTATGAATCGGATCTTTCATAACTACTTGGATAAGTTTGTCATCGTGTACCTGGATGACATACTTATTTTTAGTAGGACTGTCGAGGAGCACGTTGCGCACTTAGATAAAGTCCTCGGTCTCCTTCAGCAGCACAAGTTCAAGATCAATGGGGAGAAATGCGAGTTTGGTCGCACCCGGATCTTGTACTTGGGTCGTGAGATTTCCGTGGAGGGTTTGAAACCCGATGACGCGAAGGTGGCCAGCATTCGTGACTGGCCACGTCCTCAGTCTGTGACTAAGATAAGGTCTTTCTTAGGGATGACCGGCTACTACCGTAACTTTGTAAAGAACTATAGCATAGTGGCCGCTCCTTTGACCGACTTGAGCCGCCTTGACACCCCATGGGAGTGGACAGACAGGTGCGAGGCTGCTTTCAAACATTTGAAGCATGCGTTTGACGCATCATGAGGTCTTGAAACTTCCTGATCCTGACAAGCCGTTCATAGTAACCACGGATGCCTGCCAATATGGCATTGGTGTTGTGCTAGTGCAGCAAGAGGGGCCAAAGTTGAGGCCAAAAAGATGCCCTCTCAGAAGTTGGCTAAGTCCACCTATGAGGAGTTGTACATGATCTATAAAGCGCTAACCCGCACTATCTCCTTGGGAGGTACTTCATCGTCAGGACTGATCATCAGACCGTGAAGTGGGTGAGAACTCAACCTGTGCTCTCCGATGCGCTGAAACGCTGGATCGAAGTCATTGAGCAATATGACTTTGAGCCCCAGTACCTCAAAGGTGAGTACAACAAAGTTGCTGACGCGATGTCACGTAGGCCAGACTTCTCCGGTGCGCTGATCACTGAGTTTGGGCTTGTGGACGATGTCACTCGCGCTTTGGTGGAAGCCTATCGCGAGGACCAGTTCATGTCCGAGATCATACGCAGACTCGAGGCGAAGGACAAGGTGACTTCTGCAGAGTTTGAGTTGGTCAACGGCTTGCTGTTCATTGAGAAGGCTGGGAATAAATGTTTGTGTGTTCCTAATAGAGAGTCTTTGCGTAGTTTATTTTTAGGTGAGAGTCAAGATGCCACAGGACATTTTGGTTTCAAGAAGACTGCAGCCAATTTGTTGCAGCGGTTCTGGTGGCCCATGATAATGAGAGATGCCAAACTTTATGTCGAGACTTGTCAAGTTTGTCAACATGACAAGCCCCGGACACAGGCTCCTATTGGGCTGCTCAAGCCCCTTCCCATTCCGAAAAGGCCTGTTGAAAGCCTGTCCATGGACTTCATGGATACGCTAGTCACCAGCAAGAGTGGCATGAGCTACATCTACGTCATCGTGGATAGATTTAGTAAGTATGCTAGGTTAGTGGCCATGTCGGAAACAGCAAAGACCGAGTACGATATCAAGCTATTTAAGGAAAACTGGGTCAGAGACTTTGGCCTGCCGAAGTCTATAATCAGGGACAGGGATGTCTGATTCACCAGTGAACTGTGGAAGGTCGCAGCTGCCGAACAAGGAACGCAGCTGCAGATGACATCTGGAAACCATCCAAAGGCAAACGGACAGGCAGAGCAAATGAACCGCGCTGTTCAACACTTGCTAAAGCACTATATTAAGCCTAATCAAGTGGACTGGGATGAGAAACTTGCTCTCATCGCCAGCCTACAACAACGCAGTTCATAGTGCAATAGGAGTAAGTCCTAACAGCCTACTTCTAACATTCAAACCCAGACTCCCCTTTGACTTTCTGCTACCTGAGAACCAGCCTACTGCTGCTCCAGGCACTTTGGAATTCGCTTATAGATATGAGAGTCATATGCAGCAGGCAGTAGAACACATGCACAAAGCACAGGCGGCGATGATCGAATCTGAGAACAAGCACACCGCCCATCTATGTTTCAGGTAGGGGACAGGGTCTGGGTCAAGGCTTCAGAACTGGGACAGGAGCACGGGATATCCCGTAAGCTCATGCCAGTACTTTGGACAATGGGAGGTTTTGGATGTAGTTGGGGATGAACCAGACAGACCGGCGACGATCGAATCTGAGAACAAGCACCGCCGCCCATCTATGTTTCAGGTAGGGGACAAGGTCTGGGTCAAGGCTTCAGAATTGGGACAGGAGCACGGGATATCCCATAAGCTCATGCCACATTACTTTGGACCATGGGAGGTTTTGGATGTAGTTGGGGATGAACCAGACGGACCCTCATATGTCATTCGGATCCCTGGACACCTTCGCACTTACCCTGTTTTTCACGGCTCTAAGCTTGCACCATTTAAGGAAACTGACCAGTTTCCTTTCGTCGCTCTATGATGCCCCCAACCATGGACAGAGAGGTCCACATCGACGACATCGTTGACCACAGGGAGATGCCAGTTCCAAGACCGACAAGCAGAGGACGTCCTCCAAAACCGAAGCTGCAGTACCGAGTTCGGTTCAGACATCACACTGATCCAAAGGAGGATAGATGGTTCACACGGGAGGAACTGATGCAGACCACTCCACATGTTATCGCTCACTACGAGAAGTCTCTGCAGAAGGGAAAACGGCAGATTATCGAAGACTGAACTTCTCAAAGGGCTATCGAAGTATGGAGGAGGGAATGCGAGGCGCAAGGCCTCGATATGACCTACAGGGCCTGTTTTCCACACAGTCGGCCGCCCTAAGTGAAGGCAGGCACGACCGAGGCCTACAGGCCATTTTGGGGTCACCACGCAACTGGGGAAATGCAAGCAGTTGTGCAGTGCTAGTTGGTTGGAAGCGCCCAGGCCCAGGCTGCCTTTCATTGCATGTAACTGAGGCAGGCCCTGGGCCGGATACACGAAGTGGACCGAACAAAGGCTGAGGGCAGTTGGGTGCTGATAACCACCACAGGCCCTGGGCCTGCTTACCTCGGATTGAGGCTCAGCCTCGTGGGGCCTACTGGAAGCTTCTGGGCCAGGGCCCAGTACCGCATTACGGCGCGCAGCAGCAGGCCACTTCAATATAGAGAAGGGCCTGCCTACGCATTAGGGATTCGGGCTCTGGCTGCATGCTGCGCAAGCGCTGCTGCGCTAACGCTGTCCAGGCTCACGCGCTCACGGGCGAGCTGGAAGGACCAGGCAGCCATAGCCGAGCTGCGCTGCTGTATGCTGGATGGTGCGCATGGTGGTTCTTGG